ACCGACAAATATGTTTGGGTGAACAAAAACGTTCGACAATGTCTGTTTACACTCTGCACCTCTAATGTCAAATGGGCAATGCTGTGCAACCGTCGATGCAAAACTTTGTACTCTCTCTAAATCTTCTCTTTGTTTTTAGATAAAGATGGGAGGTGTTTTGCAATGTCTCTCTTGTTTGTCCATGAAGAAGGGATTAGGGAGGTGTATGTTTTTGGATAATTTCTTTCTCTATCACAATTCTAAATTGTGAAAAACGTTGGATTGTAGACTAAGGTGGGGTTGGGAAAAAAAATAAAACCATAAAAATAAGAGACAAAATTATGAGTTAGCACCGAAAAGGAAGCGCATGTGGCATGAAACATATATTTCATCATTGGTAAATTTCCTAATCCTTTAATTGTGAATGGTGGACTTTGGAACGTATCACAATCCATCGACGTTTGTGAATTGTGAATTAGTGGACATTTATTAATTAGATAAATGAAAAGGGAGAGGAGGAGCTATGCAAGTGGCTTAAGGAGAGAGCTAGAAAGTATAAAGAGAGAGAGAGGAAGAAATAAGAAAGAGAGAAGGGAGAGCAACAGTGATATGGATAACCTTACTTTATAAATATAATATAGATAAAGTTGTCAATGGATCGGATCTAGTTCGGGACAAGGTGGACTATTAGTCCCAAACCAATTATTAATCAGTTCTAATGACAGATAGGGGCTGCCAATGGGTTGCTCTACTCTCTCAAATTGAGCTTATCGAACCAAACAGTTCTATGGTTTCATTCCAATTAATAATTAGGTTGGTTTTGGTTATTGCTTGTTCCGAACCAATTATTGAGCTGATAATATATACAGGTTTTCTAATTTTATTATAATTTTTGTTATATTTTGTCTAAAACGATAAATTTGATACATAATATATAAAGATCAATTTTGATTAAAAACACTTGATTTATTAACATATAAGCAATTTACTATTTTAGTTACTGTCATTTTTATTGATGTTATATTATTGAAATGAAGTTTTAAATTGTTATTAATATAGACAATTATAAATGTTAGTATAATAAGGTCTAATCAGGTCAGACCCAATTATCTTAATTAATAATTGGGATGGTGATGGGTCTATGATTTTGTCCTAATTAGTAATCAGTTCAGGATTGATACACCCTATCGTGAATCAGACCCAACTGCTGACAGCCCTAAGGAGTAAAGACAGACCAAAACTGTACAAATTATTTTAATTAGGATAATTGGGTCTGGCCCGTTTATACTTGACATCTATATCTATGATAATAACAACTTAAAACTTCATTTTTAATAATATAATCTTAAATAAAAACCCCTAAAAATAGTAAACTGATTATATGTTTAATAAAGTAAGAGTTTTAAACCAAATATAACAAAAATTACGATAAAACCAAGAAATGTAAAAAGGACTTTTCACAAGAAAGATAACAAGGTTTACTCAATTTGGCAAAATCCATTAACTTTACAAAATAATGCCAAATTACGTTAATGGAAAAAATGATTTTTAGGACAAAATAATTTCTGTATTGTGACTTCTGCTGTTCATTATCCTACCTTTTCTATTTGAGAATTACTCACAGACATGACAACAATGCTGCAAGTACCAATGAACCAAGGTTAGTGCACTAACCCCTTTACACAACGCATTACTTCAACCAAACCAGAGGCATTCTCAAATTCAACAAAGGCATCAAAAGATTAAGCCAACTTGAGCTTCGGCCTGCCACCATGACTGCTGTCACTGCCTTGTTCATGAATTTAGTGATCATCATGAGACTAAAATTTACTTGGGTGACGAGGAGATTGGAAAAGGCCCACGACTAAAAGAAGGATGGGGATTGCTGGTAAGTATAACTAGCAGGGAAACCCCTGCGAAGACAGGGGCAAAATAGAAAAATGGCATTGGAAGATATAATAATAAATTGGGTAGATTACATATAGGTATCTTGTAATCTATGGGTGGTGACAAATAAATACCCTCAACTTTTAATTATAACACTTGAGTGCCTTGAACTCTAAAAAATGGACACTTAGTTTCATTCATTAGTATTCCATCAGTTATACATTATATAATGTCAAAAATACCCTTCTCATCTATTTTTGAGATAGCGGGATAAGATGCCTTTGACTCTTTGGGACACATAGATCTCGAAAAGTTACTCAAAAAAAAAATCACTTCAATTGAACATCAAAATGCAAAGTTATAACCTTCCTAATTTTACATACATAGTTAGTGTGCAACCCATGACCCGATGATCGGGTTACTAGTTCGACAGTTCAATCATTCAGGTTGACGATTTTTTAACTTTCAACTTTTTTTTTAAGGCAGCACCATATTTTATAAGAATTTCACACAAAGGTTTTGTGGATGCTAATATTTTCAGGGTACGTGCAGAGGTTTTGTGGGGGAGGAGATCCCATATGAACATATACGAATTTACATTGAAACTTCAAAGACACATAATTCAGTATGCTGCGTTGGTTTGATAGCAAATAAGAAAGAAATAGAAAGTGTTGAGAAAAAAATTCTTAACAAATTTTAAGAAATTTCCCTTCTTAAAAACATCTCCTCAACTATCTGTTACTCTTTTATTTTTTATTTTTATCAAACCAAACTCCAAACATAGCCTATCAACATACGTACTCCCTCCTCCTGAAGTGTATCTCCGATCAAGTATTCCATCCATAAACCCTCATGGAGCATGTGATAGTATCCCTTAGGGGTTTTGGGTTTCCGTTTATATATAATGCAATACTTGCTTTGGCTTCACATCAAGACCATAAAAATTAAACTTGAATGTTTTAATATTATCATTGTATAATGTTAATGTTTCTTAGTAGTTGTTACCCAAATATTTTAATTTTTAAATCAATGATTTTTTTTTTTTTTTTAAATCATATCATTGAGTTAAGATATTTAAAGAAGGGGTTATTATCAGATAATAAGTCCCCCTCACTTTTCTAACATTCTCCTAAATTACCCTGAACTTTTCAATACCTCCAAGAGCCCCCAATGATTGTATGCCTTCACTCAGTTTAATTTTAGTGATCATGACAAAATTGATCTACATGTACTATTTTTAATCACAAAACTAACCTTGACCAATCACTCTACCCTATTAATTAATTTTTTATATGATAAAAATACCTTGGTTGATTTCTCTCCTCCATTTCATTGCCTATTTTATTTTGATTCATCTAACAACATATTAATGGTTCCATTTACCCACCAATAATTCAATTTGAGAGAATTGTGAACCTATTTTTTAGTTTTGGGTCAAAGGATGCAGTTGAATAAAAGGGTATCATTGTAATCTTGCAAATACAATTAGTTTTCTAACAACAAATGTACGATAGATAGGGCTTTGGATGTATCGAAAAGGCATGGGAAATTTTTAAGAGAAAGTTAAAAGAGTAGAGGGATATTTTAAATAATAATCCCTTTAAAGAAGTAGATAAAAATTTTCAAAAGAATCTATATTATACCTTTATTTATATTTGTTGAGGGCCAAACTCTTCCCTCCGTAGAGTCAATGATGGGATAAAAAGTTAAAAATTGATTTAAGAAAATAAACAAAATAAAAAAAGATATTGAAATAATATAACTATATAAGCATATTTCGTATCAGTTTCGTAATATATATATTTTGAAATCAAAACTAATACTTTTATTATTAAGGGCACTGCTGCACTTCAGTTTCATGGTCAAAGCCCAAAGGGGGCATAAACCCCAGGAGAGGGAAGCTCACCCTGGTCAGGCCCATGATCAACCCTAGTCCCTAGATGGCTAGATCTATCCGGTATGTGTTCAAACTGGAACCCATGTGCGAGTTCTATGGCTAATTGGCTGTAACTACCAGAAAAGTTGGATGTTGGAGAAAGACAAATGCAGAGCCATATATGTGGAATGATAGAATTTGTAGAGAGAGAGAGACATGGCCGGCTCAAATGATTAGCCTCCCTCATGGACCTCATGGTGGTTAGTTGGCATCTGGCGATCCACTTTTGATGCATTCTCCTCTCAACCATTGACGACGCCAGCTGAGCTGACATTCATCACTTAACAAAAAAGTTGAAGCAGTCAGGGTCAGGGTTAGGCATTAGAATTTGAGTTTGTCCGGGCAAGGTGGTAGGTGTGTGGGTGTGACTTTGACTGTATTGTGACTTCCCTACGCACCTCTACCACGTGATCTAATCGCCCAATGACCCAAATGCCTGAGCCATGAGCCAGTCCATGAGGTAGGTTTCTAATCTTATTTATTTATTTTTTGACAATCAACTACTGTAGTTGAGGAATTCATGATTTTGAGGTAGGTTTGATTTGGGAATTCATGTATTGGGTGGGTTGGTATTGGTCTTTAAAACATTAAAACTCCACCAAATCCTAAGCCCAAAGGTTGTTGGACTTTTCTTTCTTTCTTTCTTTTATATATTTTGGTTGCATAAAAAGGAGAGAGAGTCAATATTCAGGAGTCAGGACACCACTGTAATTCAAAAATCATAAGCAAGCCCTCTAAAGTTAAGGCGGTTTATTAGCAAAAAGGTGTGTGCCCACTCTTCTTTTCTCTTTTACACAATTACACTCTTCTTCACTTTTACCTTAGACTCCAAGAGGCCAAGTCCAAGGTCAAGAGTCCTAAAATAAAACCCTTTTTGGGCCTCAGCCTCATCAAATCGAGCTAACCCTCCACCTCCACCTCCATCTAACTCTCTTCTCCGTATATTCAGCACCATATCCATAGAGATAATGCAATGTGCCTCTACCTGATTTATAGCGTAGTGAAAATAGTATTGGACGGCCTTCAAATAAAAAAGAAAATGGTATTGGACGGTCCGGATTCACAGCTGCCTGACCCACGTGCTTCTTGTCAAGCATTAGGCGTGGGACCCAAAGTACGGACAGTGAGTAATACGTTTAAGTTTAACCGCCCTTTTTATATTTTGTTTTTCTTTGGGTCTCTCTAGAGTCTAGACCTAGAGAGAGACCGGATTCAGTCAGTTCAAGGCTGTTCGAAGTTCGAACAATAACAATCTTCTTCCTAAATCCTAGTTGTAGTTGTCTTAATACACGCATACACACACATTCCAATTGAAACATACACACACCTACCCACTTAGCTGCTACCGCGCGCCCTCGAGTTTGTCGACTTGGACGAATTTATAAACGCCACCTTGGGGGTCGCCGTGTCAGCCTCTGTTCTTCGCCTCCCTAACGCACGCCACCATTCTGCATATTTCCTTTCTTCACATCTGCTTTTCTTGATCTCTTCTACTCCCTTCCCTCTTTCCAGATTCGTATCAGTTTTTTCTCTGATTCGCACATTCTTCTCCGTTAACCACTGTTCTAAAATCCAGGAGTTTTTCTCTCTTCCTTATTTTGCCTCGGTTTCATCGGAACCATTCTGCGCTTTTTCTTTTTATTTCTTCAAGGTAAGCCTTTTATTCTGATTTCTTAACGATCTTTTCCCTTACACGACCTGGTTTTCTTTGCATTGCCTCTTTGGTAGACTGCTATTCCCCTCCCTATTGGGTTTCCTTCTCTTGATTATTAATTCTTCTATATATGTTTTCCAATTTCTACGATTATGTGGTTGTAGGTTTTTGTTCTAAATAGTTCTCTCTTTGGAATCTTGGGTCAAAATAACTCTTTTTACTTGATTGATTGTTGTTATTATTATTATATTAGGGGGGAAATACAACTTCGGAATTTGTATTGTCAACTCGTTCTTTCTGGGTTGTTGGACAAGATGCAGGGGCTTATTTAAGGAAAAATTGTTATCTTATTTGTCTTTTGTTATGTTTTAGTTTTTGAGACATTAAATTGGATTTGATAAATAATGGGGTTATCTGAAATTCCTTTTGGTGCATGCCCAAATCTTTCTTTCCCTTATTGGCTATACTTGATCAAAGATGATTTTTTTTTTTATTTTAATTGCGAAATTATTTCTACTTTCTTTTCAATTCTAATAATAATATGGAATTGTTATGTAACTGGCGTAGGCTTTAGGTGCTTGATTAATGCATTCTTGCAAACCGGAGATCGAAGTTAAATCCTTTATTTTCTGCATTGTTATCTAACATGTTTTCTGACGTTTCTATGAAGTAAATTTTATATGTTTTCTTTCTTTGATGTATGTTATCCAAATCTTTTTCTGACGGTACCTGTTTTTTTGATTTTATCGTTTCTGTTTTCTTTTCTGTTGCCATTAAATGGACCGAATCCATCTCTCTAATATATTTTCTGACATAACTCCTTCTTGAACTGCACCTGCAGTTTCAGGATGGCTGCTGTTTCCTTACACCAAGCGTTTGGGGCCATTCAGACCCACGGGTTTTGCAACGAATCTGGTTCTCAGCAGAGATTCGGTAATTTTTCAGTGAAATTGGTTTCAAAAGGCTTTGGGGTTGACGTTAGACTGTTGAAAAGAGGAAGTTGTAGCTCTAGTGATTGGAAATTGCATGTAATTCAAGCGTCAACATCCAGCACTTCAGTGGCTGATCCAGTTTCATCTCCCTCAAACAACAATATAAATGACTCTCGAAAGAAATCAAGTAGGTCGATTCTTTCTATGCAGGTTTTGAATTTTGTAAACTGTGGCATGTGCACTTATTTTGCCTTGCTATATTTATGCTTTAAATTGTACATCTCAAAGACGGGAATACTTTCAATGCCAAGTTAGCTTTAGTTAAATTTACTTGGGTATTCTGGAAATTAATGGGGTTCTTTTGTAACAACCTTTAAAGTTCATTTTTTTTGGCATCTATTTCAGGTGAAACTGCTTTGATCTTGATTCGGCATGGTGAGTCTTTGTGGAATGAGAAGAACCTGTTTACAGGTTGTGTTGATGTTCCCTTGACCAAGAAGGGTGTTGAAGAGGCAATTGAAGCTGGCAAGAGAATTAGTAATATACCTGTCGACATGATCTATACATCTGCATTGATTCGTGCACAGATGACTGCTATGCTTGCCATGACACAGCATCGCCGCAAGAAGGTATTTCTGCATAGATCATCATCATCTATCATCATCTAAGCCTTGTTTAGGGTTGGCTACATGAATCCTGTTTCTCCTATTTATGAGCACAAAAAGACAATACTTGATCCTTGACCATGAGAGTTTGACTTTCAACCTGACACAGCCCTCCTCCTATATCCAGCTTGGGACCTGTGGTGTAAGACAAACTTGCACTGATGGAGGGGCCATTTGGCAAGTCTTTTTGAAAGATATTCTGGAAGCTCTGATAGTTAAAAAGCGATATGAGCTTTTGCATCAAGATCTTAAAGGCTTGAAGACCCTTTGGTTAAGGCACATCTTTCTGAGTGTCTTTCTGCGTAAAGATGAATTGAAAAAAAGGCGAGAAGCTTCATTTGGAGCTTCCCAAAAATAGTCCAAAACGGGCTTTCTGCATCTTTTTGAGGCCGTGGCTTTTGGCAGCTAGATCTTTTCCCAACCAAACGGGAAAAGACCAAAACGTGGGCTGCCGGGCTTCTAAAAAGCTGATAGCCCGCACTAAAAGACCACCAAACAGGGCGGAGTTATTTCTGTATAGACAACAAGATGTTCAATCCACTTTATTTCTGCATAGGTTCATGATATTGAGACAACAAATGTTGGTCTTTATTTTGAGGCAATTGCATGTGTATTCTGTCTGGCATTGGACCTGAGAAAAGGCTTAAGAAGTAACAACACTTAATGTATTTAACAGTAGTTGCTTAGTTTATAATGTTTGTCTCCATGAGGCATTACCAACATGGTGTTCCAATTCCAACCTGCCAATTGTAGCTGTCTTTGTAAGCATCAATTGGTTTATGCTTGGCACTTGTATATCTTGGATGATAGTACTGAGAAGGTGTCCCTACTATCTCCATATGCATCATGGTGTAATCATGTAAAAGCGCAAGTCTAAATATTCATCAGTTATTAAAATATACATTAGTGTATTTATCCCAATTCGCATTTTGTAGGTGCCAATAATCATGCACAATGAGAGTGAACAGGCAAAAGCATGGAGTCAGATTTTCAGTGAAGACACTAAGAAACAATCTATTCCAGTTATAGCAGCTTGGCAATTAAATGAAAGAATGTAAGTACTTCCCCCTGTGTTTGGTTTTACACAAATTTTCACCCATCCTAGCATGGGGGTATATTATGCATTTTTCTCTACAGGTATGGAGAGTTACAGGGTCTAAATAAGCAGGAAACTGCAGATAAATATGGAAAAGAGCAAGTGCATGAATGGCGTCGTAGTTATGATATTCCACCTCCCAATGGTGAGAGCCTGGAAATGTGTGCTGAAAGAGCTGTTGCCTATTTCAAGGAAAATGTAAGTATCATTATGAAATTCTTTCTATCTTATGTTCTTGTAACATCACTAGGTATTAGTGTTTGGATATCCATCTGCAAAAGTTGAAGGGAGGCTGTACTTCTGCTGATTTAGTTTTCCAATTCTCTCTCTCTCTCTCTCTTTCTATCTCTCTTGTTTGTGTGTGGAAAACCATCTCAGATTAAGAGGATTTATTGCAGATTGAACCTCAACTTCTATCTGGGAAGCATGTAATGATTGCTGCACATGGGAACTCACTGAGGTCCATTATTATGTATCTTGACAAACTGACTTCCCAGGAGGTGACAACATTGTCTATATTGCCATGCTCGTATATTTCCTATACTTTCTTTTTTTTTTTTTTTTTTTTTTCTTTTATGACGTTCCTATGTTTCTTCTACAGGTCATTAGCTTAGAACTATCAACTGGGATTCCTATGCTCTACATATTTAAAGAAGGGAAATTTATCAGGAGAGGTAGTCCAGTGGGACCTACAGAGGCTGGTGTTTATGCTTATACTAGAGTAAGCAACTTCTTCCACATTGTTTTTGCAATTTTATGAACTTATCCAAGTTTTAAATTTTGAATTTGCTATTTATTCTGGTAGGTATTTTAAACAGCACTTGAACATGCCATGAGATATGCCATTAAACAGGCCAGCAGATTATCTGTTTCTTACTCTCTTATGAGAGATTAGTCAAATACTCCAGAAATTGTTTTGATGTTAGTTTTTTAGTACTGTTAGTATGCCTTGAGGGTTCAGGGGAAAATTCTGTATGTGGTAAGAAAAAAGAATTCAAAACTTAGGTTTTGTATTATTGTCTTTATACATGTCTTTGTTACCATAGAGGCTTTGAGCCTGGTTAGGACCATGGTTCAAAGTATCGATACGATATGCCCAATATGGGGCGTATCGTATCATATCTTTTGAAAAAGATACGGTCCGAAACGCTTGTTTCCAGGTGTTTTGGACCCCCAATTTTTTTTTAATAATAAAAAATATCATATAAGCTTCCCAAAAAACTAAACTTTGAAAAAAAACAAAAAAAAAGTATGTATTGGTCGTTTCTAAGTACTGATACGATACGACCGACACTTGTATCGTATCGATACTTTGAACCTTGGTTAGGACCTAAAATATGTGTATGGTAATGTTCCTTTGATATATGTGTAATACACCCAAAATTATGTAGAAAATGTGCCTTCCTGACCAGAGTAGATCTTGAAATCTTTGCTGTGGCTTACAATACTTGTCAAACTGGTCCACTAGGTTCAATTCGCCTGTGCTTCTGTTCAAGTTAATTGACATGAAATTGGTAAAATGGGCAAAACTGGAATATGCTAGAATCTGTTGATTTCCTTGGTGTGTCCTAATTGTGTTTTGTTGGAGTCCATGGTTCTGTTCTTGAAGAGGTCCTGTAATTTGACTCTCAGTGAACTTTGTGTTATAGATTGCTTCTATCAATCTCTGGAGCCCTTCTATGTTCCAGTTATATCTGGTTATGAATCTCAGTATCTTAGCTTTCAAGAAGCTTTGCTATCTCATCCATATATTTTGAATTATGAAACTACTTTGGACTAGAAAATTCTTAGTTGACTCCTTCAAGCCCATTATTATCCAATATGCAGATAATCTTTTGACTTTTTATAGTGGTTTCATCTCGTAAAATTTAATTGAACTCATTAGTACAACAAGCTAATTAAATCCAGTCCCCCTTTTTCTCTTCCCCTAAAATGGGAGAAAGAGAAAAGAAAAAGGAACAAGACTAGAAGCACTAGGTTAGCAGTGGGGCAGTGTTCATAATTATATACTGTTTCTCCTTTAAATGTTTCATTAATGAAAGTTACCGTATGTAATAAAAAAAAGAATAAGATAGGAAAGAAGAGCTAAGGTAATAACTTAGCAATGAAGAAAAAAAAGATGAAACAAAGGGATATGTTTTGAATAAATCCTGTTTGGGGTGCCTCGGGATTGGCTGCTAGAGGATCCGTTTAAAGATGCTGGTGTTCTCTCTAGTCGGATAGTATATCATGATTATTTGTGGCCGAAGTGACACATGGAGAATGGGTTAATTTATTACCTTAGAGAATGAGTGTAATGCGCATAGGTTGAATTTCTGAACTCGTGGCTCAATCAAATAACCTATGCTGTGTTACTTCACAACATGGAAATAAAGGGACCCTGGCTGTATCTGATTGATTTTGTTCTTGTATCTACTGTATATATTTATACTGAAGGGAAAATAAGCTGATGAGACCCTTGCCATTTGCTATTGTTTCTTCTATGCAGAGTTTGGCTCTTTACAGGCAAAAGTTGGATGAAATGATGTCTCATTAACTTGACTCAAATGAAGGTTAGAACCAAGTTTGTTTTCATCCTTTTTTATTATACAGGTTTCATCGACTCTCTTATATTTGTTTATTTATGCAGGTGGTCATTATGTGTTTGTATCCTCAACATTCATTCATATTGGTGTTATATCAAGTTATCATTGTACTTGTCGATAGGAGAATTTTTTTAAACAATATAGATAGACTAGAGAGTTTCAGTTCAGCCGTGGATAAGCAAGCTAGATTGTTAGCGTTTTTCATTTTGGGTTGATTGCTACAGTACCCGGCTATTTTGTGGATTTAAGATGTAGAACTTGTAGTTCTGTAACAGAGACTGCTTTTTTCTTTTTGTTTGAAATAAGAGAATATAATTCTTTTGTTATTTTTATGTTCATTTGTTTATCTATTGTAATGTTAATGCTAAAGAATGGCGCAGTTTGAATATTTAGCAACCGTCACTATTCGATTTTTTGTGTTCAAAATCATTTTGATTTAGATTGGTTTTAACCCAAACCCGGTTCATTGACACATTTTTATCTTTTATTAATGGACCAGATATTGACTTAATCCAATCCAGTCCAATATAAATTTGTTACGGACAGATCAGGTCCAATCTAATTTAATAAATATTTTGGACCGGATTGGTCCAATCCAATATGTCTTGTTGGTCTGTCCAATCCGTCCAAATTGATTTTGGACTCTGGACAGGGTCCAATCTCCTTCATCAGATAGGGGATACCTGTGCCACGCACCTTCAAGTTCTAGACCAAGTGTGAGGGCAGGTAATCCAGCTTTAGAGTGCAACCGTTGGAGTGCTGGAGATGCATCAGGGTCAGGGATATGGGGATTGGTTCAATCTTTTGGGGGCGCTGGGGTACCCGCCCTGATTCATTGCCAAAGGGAAGTGGGGTCTCATACCTTTTTATTGGGATAATGGTAGAAGTGACTGAACTGAATGGCTTATTGCCTTGGGGGATGAATTATGCGATTTGATAATTATGGAGCTCAACAGGTGCTGTTTTTCTGCATGCCACTGTTTTCTCCATTTTCTTTTGTCTGGGACCTGACCATTGGTGTCACCGTGTCCCGAACCTCCCCTTTAGTTTCATTTTAACAAAAAACAAAACCTCCTTTTCTTACGGAAAATGTTAAGCCGGTGCATTATTTATTATTTTTTTGAAATGTCCATTTTACCCTTTTGTATGTTAGTTAATATATTTTTATTGAAATACCCCCATTTGAAAATCGATCAAAAAACTCCTTTCAACCTATTTGTCCTTTTCTAATTTCTGAACTCAACCGTACAAAGAATGCAACTTTTTTATCTTTCTTCCAAACTCTATCGGTTCCAGGAAATAGTAATCCTAAAATGTTTTTGTCATTTTATTCCTCCTCTTTCAATGTCCCTTCACTCCATCGACTTAAGAAGAGGTAGCCGTTGACTCTTTCACTGTTGAAGCTTACTCTAATCAGGTAAAGAATCAACATCCGATGCTTGGGACAATGGGGTTTCTTTCAAGTCCATTGACCTCTCTGACAACTTTCTTCAAGGTGGGTTCTCGAATTTCTTCACAAACATGCTAAGTTCACGGAAGATTAAGCTCGCAAATAACCAGTTGAGGTTGAACATTTCAGATATTGCATTACCAGATGTGCTTTCCTCTATTGATCTCCACTCAAAAAAACTTTATGGGTCACTATCAACACTTTTAAACACTAACAAAATCAGATTTCTGGAGCTTGTAGACATCTTAAGCAATCAAATCATAGTTGAGATTTCAGAGTTCAGTGAAGGTTCAGGTTTGAAACTGCTGAACTTGGCAAGCAATAAAATCTCAGGTCAAATCCCAGATCCAGTCTCAAACCTGATTGAACTAGAAAGGTTTGATGTTTCAAGGAACCAGATTAAGGGCACCATCCCTGCAAGCTTAGGCCAATTACCAAAGTTGCAATGGCTCAACTTGTCCATCAATGCTCTTAGTGGCAAGGCATCAATTCTCTCAGTGGCAAGATCCCAAACAACTTTCTAGGCCTACAAAGTCTCAAACATGCAAGTTTCAGGGCAAACAAACTTTGTGGAGGGATACCACAAGGGAGGCCATTCAACATTTTCCCTGTGCCTATAAGAGTAGGGTCAATGAAATATTGACCCAACTGCCAATGGGCATTTTTCATGCCCTATCAACATTGTTAGATTAGATTAAGAGACAATTCTATTTCATAATAACTGAAATCCTTTATTTTTTATTGAATACACTATTACACTAATTGTTTGCTTGTTTTTCAAGGGAAGCAAGTCCATTGGATTTGATAGTGAATTTAGTTAGCTCTATATTCAATACTATTCAGGCTATTCAAGAATAAGAATTATATCATTCCCTGTATTAATAGTTGATCATTCCATTAGAGAGAGAAAGAGAGAGGATGTGGAATTGAAATTGGATTGCTATTATGAAATGGATTCCACTAACAAAATCCAATGATCACAACTGGTTTAAGCATTTACTGATGGTAGTCAATCCATACATTAAGGTTACTCAAAATGGCCTCTATGAATATATCTTATAATCTACCCTTCTTCTTCTGCTTCCGCTCCCACTTCCTCTTCCCTCTCTGAGCTTCCTTGCTCTTGGTAAAGTAAACAGGCATTTACAATAATGTTATTAATATTATGACATCAAAATCAGAAACAAATAATTCAATATGTTAATTGAGAAAGAAAATAAGCACGGAAGTACCCAAATTCATCTTGATCTTAGAATCAAGACTACAATTATGCATATCAATAAGCACTATGGAAACATCCTTATTACATTCTTCACTGCAATCAAACAAAAACCCAACTTCCATCATTAACCAATAAAAATTAAGAAGTTGCTTCAAGCCCAGTACTTGAGTAGTGCTAGTAATAATTTAGCGACATTAGAAACAGATCCACATGGAATCAAAATACTATATAGACTTCCTCCTAGAATCCAAGAAACAATAGATGAAGATGCATAGAAACAAATCGCAAGGCTTAACAAATAGACATTCTGAAAGCCCAAAAATCTTAGATGAACAAAATAACTAAATAATAGATGAACTATTGATTGAAAAGATGAACCTTAGCATCTAGTGAAAGTGCTTCCATCCTTCACACGTTTTAGAGTACTTTACTCTAGTTTGAACCTCTTTCTTACTCTCGGAGTAGACTTTGATGAAGCTCCCGCCATGTTTTGTTCAATAGAGAGACCAAGCTAGCGAGCAAGAGAGAGAGAGAGAGATTCAACGGTGAAAGAGTCAATGATTGCCTCTTTTTGAGTCGATGGAGTTTGAAGGGACATTGAAAGAGGAGGAAGAAAATGACAAGGATTACTGTTTTCTTGAACTGATAGAGCTTGGATGAAAGATCAAAGAGTTGCATTCCACATACAGTTGAGCTCAGGAATTAGAAAAGGAAAAATAGGTCGAAGGGAGTTTTTTGGTCGATTTTCAAATGGGAGTATTTCAATAAAAGTATATAAACTAGCTTACAAAGGGTAAAATGGACATTTCAAAAAAATGATGCACCGTTTAACATTTTCCATTTGGGTCAATATTGGAAGGGAAGTTTTTGTCAAATTCTTTAAAAGTCTAGGGAGGTTTTTATGATTGTCAAAAACTTCAGGGGAGGTTTTTGTATTTTACCATTTTTTTTTTCAGAAAAATGTCCAACCAAACACTTTCATTTTTCAAAAAAAGAAAAAAAAAAGCGCCAAAACCTAAAATGATGCAAAAGAACAAAGCTATAGTGTTTTTCAATAGTTGAAATAATACAAATATGTATAATATAAATACAAATATGTATAATATAAATGCCCTGTGTCCCTGTGCGATGCACGGGTTTTGTCAAGTAAAGCTAAAGCAAAAGGAGCTAGCTATGACATATGTAATTGGGCCGAGGTGGTTCAAGTTCAACCCAATCATTAATTTTCAGTTGTACAAGCTTTGTTATTGTTTATTAAACCGTGTTAGTTATTTTAATTAAATTTATTTTTGTTAATTAATCTTAAATAATGATAATAATAATAATAATAATAATAATAATAATAATAATAATCATATATTAATTCTACTTCCATATTCTAATAGAATTTATTTTGAATAATTATTTATAGTTTATCATTAAATAATGAAAATAAAATAACATTATTTTACTGTTAACTTTGGGTAAATTTGGATTATCACTATAATTTCTGTTTATTTTCAATTAATTAATTAGGTTAAATTTCTCACAACGTATTCAAATAATCCATTTGAGTCGGCTTTTGACCTAAGGCATTGTTGAAACATATATAGAATGTAACATGATTATTCAAAATTGATAAATTAGATTGTATATTTAGATATGTAATTGAATCTCTCCATTGTGATTTGCAATACCGATAATTTGAACCTTGCTTAGAATATTACATTAATATCCAAAGCACGCCTGTCTGTCATTCTCTTTTGAAGTTTTCGCCAAACATTTGGCATACCATTTATCAATACACATAACCTGACATGCTGATGATGCAACAAGCTGAAATCGACAAAAAGGTGTTCACATTGACATCGGCCTCCATCAGGGCAAGTCGTTGCCCATACACTTCCAATAGCCTTTTACAAAATATCTCCTCCTGATATAAAATGTATAAGCAGGAAGATATTATCAATGAAAGGTTGTAAAAGACTGTTCGAACGGTCTTTGCCCTGACTTAAGCCGAATTCGTTGATTAACACATTATCAGGCTTTTGGTGCTCACTGTGAGTCATGTTGGTCTCATATTCCTCCCGATTTTGTATTTTTACCATCTGTATCTCGGTCTATTGTTGGTTGATGTTATGAGCACCCGCATCATACGGTAACAGTTGAGGTAGCAGCGCGCACACGACCGGCACCGCATTGCAGTGATACTATGAGCCGCGCGCACACATTGCACAACAGTGGCATCGCACGCACCGCGCGGCAGCGGCACCACGCGCGCCGCACGGAACGGCACCATGAGCCGTGCGCACGCACACTGGTAGCAGCAGCAGAGTGGGGCCCACACGACAACTCATAGGGTGGGCCCACCCTCATCTGGACACGTCAAGAGAACGCGCCTTATCCCTTATCCCATTCTCCCTTATCTTATCCCCTATTCTTAGAAGGAATTGTAGTACCATTAAAAGTAAAGTAGTCYAAGTAGAAGTAGGAGTTTAAGTCCGTTTAGGACTAACCTAGCCGAATCCTACAAGGAACCCTCCTCTTGTAATCTCCTATTTAAGGAGACGCCATTATTGAATGAGGATATCGAATATTCAGTCAAGAAAGAGAGTAAAGGAGAGTTCGGTGATCTCTTGGACAAATCACCCCCGAGATAGTCAAAATAGGGCCTACACGCAAGGCCAAGGGCAAGGAAAGATCTGAGGTTCCTGCGGTGGAGCGACCCGTGACGCAATCCTATGCTTGGGCCCATAACATCTTGGTAGTGGACCGGTTCTCCAAATATGCTCACTTCCTCCCTTTATCCCATCCTTATACCGCAGTCTCGGTCGCCCATACCTTCTTCACCCACATTTTTCGCCTACATGGACTCTCCGAGTCTATCGTCAGTGACCGGGACCCGATCTTCACAAGCACATTCTGGAAGGAGCTCTTTAGATTACAAGGCACGGCCCTCGCCTTCTCCTCAGCCTACCATCCACAGTCAGACGGCCAAACAGAGGTGGTGAACCAGACAATTGAGATGTACCTTCGCTGCTTCGTGGGTGACCAGCCGCGGCGCTGGGTGGAGTACCTCCCATGGGTTGAGTACTGCTACAATACATCCTATCACTCCTCCCTTGGAATGACTCCCTTCAGAGTTGTGTATGGTCGAGATCCTCCACGCCTTCTGTCCTACGAGTCGGGCTCAACGCGGTTGGAAGAAGTGGACCGCAGCCTCTAAGCTCGTGATGCCCTCCTGGTCGAAGTCTCCTTGCGCTTACAATAGGCGCAGGCACGTATGAAACATGCCTACGATCAGCGGCACCGCGAAGTCACCTTCGAACTAGGGCAGTACGTTTGGCTGAAACTCCGACCATACAGGCAGCTGTCTCTCAGGCGTCGGGGGCCCCCTAAGCTGGCCCCCAAATTCTATGGGCCCTTCAAGATTCTAAGGAAGATAGGAAAGGTAGTTTATCAACTCGAGCTCCCGGAGCACAGCAGGATCCACGACATCTTCCATGTGTCCCTCCTAAAGCTTTATGTAGGCACTCCTCCCGACCATATGCCTCCCCTACCCCCCTTGCAGGATGGCGGACCTATCCTCCAGCCCCGTGCCCTTATCCGGTCCCACATCCATCAAGGCACCTTCGAGGTTTTAGTCGAATGGGAGGGACTACCTCTAGCAGAGGTGACCTGGATCCCCTGGACCGATCTCCACAACGCCTATCCAGACCTCGAGCTTGAGGACAAGCTCATAGTCCAGGAGGGGAGTGATGTTATGAGCACCCGCACCACACGGCAGCAATTGAGGCAGCAGCGCGCACACGACCGGCACCGCACGGCAGCGGCATCATGAGTCGCGCGTACGCACTGCGCAGCAGTGGCACCGCACGCACCGCGCGGCAATAGCATCGCGCGCACGCACCATGCGCGCCGCACGGCGGCGGCACCATGAGCCGCGTGCACGCACACCAGCAGCAGCAGCAGAGCGGGGCCCACACGACAGCTCATAGGGTGGGTCCACCCTCATCTGGACACGTCAAGAGAACGCGCCTTATCCCTTATGCCATTCTCCCTTATCTTATCCCCTAATCTTAGAAGGAATTGTAGTACCATTAAAAGTAAAGTAGTCTAAGTAGAAGTAGGAGTTTAAGTCCGTTTAGGACAAACTTAGCCGAATCCTACAAGGAACCCTCCTCTTGTAATCTCCTATTTAAGGAGACGCCATTATTGAATGAGGATATCGAATATTCAGTCAAGAAAGAGAGTAAATGAGAGTTCGGTGATCTCTTGAACAAATCACCCCCGAGATAGTCAAAATAGGGTCTGCACGCAAGGCCAAGGGCAAGGAAAGATCTGAGGTTCCTGCGGTGGAGCAACCCGTGACGCGATCCTACGCTCGGGCCCATAACAATTGAAGGAAACCGCCTACCCCAAAAAAAAAGAACGTACTTAATTTTTGGAAGGATGATTTTGAGTTGAGCTCAGACTACCTAAGGAGTAAGGTTTGAATCCAAGGCCAACCCAGTTAGACCCAAACTCATCCCTGAGCATAAAATCTCAAGCCCATCCGATTCAAAAGCTTGGGTTTGACTCCCCAAGTTGCATAGCCCTAGCATAACAAAGAGAGAGAAGAAAAAGAAGCTGATGAAGAAGAAGAGAAAGCAGCCGTAGATTAAGAAGGCCAAAAGCATTCATGTGAGGGAAACTCCTAATTTTTTTTTTAATCTCGGGGAAAGTACGTTTTATGTCAACTTTTAATGTGAAAACTTACTTGAGGATAGTAAACTTTGAAATTTAAATATGTAAAAAATTTCCATCTTATAAAATCTAATAATCTGATTCTGATGGGGACAAAAATGGTATAAAGATTAAGAAGATTGTATAATATAAAAATGCACTGTTAAGATACAGGGCGTTTTACACATTATATGCACATTGATAAGTATTAGATATCATATATGGTATTTGAATTTAATTTTTATGACTTGGATGGAATCTAAGGAAAATATCCATTTTATATAATATATAGATTATCATAGCCTTGAATATATTTTATATGGTAAATTATTGAAATATCCTTTGAAGTTTCTGATTGTTGCTAAAACATCTCTGGGTAATTGCAATCACCTCCCATGAACTTTCACACATAGTTACAAGTAGACGCCCTTTGTTAGAATCCTCTAAAAAGAGACATGAAAAAGTCCAAAATATCCATATAGTTACTTTGACCAAAATGTTTAATTTTCAAGTTTTCTTCACCTATAAATCCTTACCTCCAACTCTTCCAATCTCTTTTCTGAAATTGATTTATTTTCCAAATTTGCCCTTCATATCAATCGCTCAAAGGTAAAGTTGAAACTTTAATTTCTCTTTTTTGAATTTTCATAAATTTTGTATTACTTTTCTCTAAAAATCAGCATCAATAATAACTGCATAGATAGTATGAACATTTTTATGTCTTTTTTTAGAGAGTTCTAATATAAAGGGTTTACTTGTATCATAAATTATTCAATTACAAAACTTTAAGGGAGGTTTCAGCAACAGATACACACAAAACATACCATTTTCATTTTGCCTCAAACCATGAAAAACTTTTCCATTTTCATTAATAATGGCATTTTCTTGCACATCTAATATAATTAATTAAGTATCCAAGCAATACTAGACATGCATGAACATTTCAACTTTCTCTGATTTTTATTTAATTTTCTTCCACTTTTGCTTCGATTGCTATTTTTGTAATTGTACGTGGCATGACTCAACTGGGATAAAAAGAAAATTGCGGAAAGCCCACCTGTGAAATTATTAGCTTTGCATGGCGAGTTCTTCTAACCAGAAAGGCAGAAACGCGTTATGGGCATTTCTGTAATTTTAAACCATTATAAATCTAAGGAAAGAATTGTTGGGGCGCGTGGTGTGGTGAGTTGGGTTGACGAGTTCTCCTCATCATCCATAACCCCCGAAGTTGGTGGTGGAAGAGTATAGGCGAGGGGGAGAGAGAGCGGGACAGAAGGAGAATCTTGAGTAGATGGGTTACGGTCGCCTCTCTCTCCCTCTCTGCATTTGATAGACGATCTCCGGGCACTGTTTGTGTTCCGGTGGCGTCACAATCGCCGGCAAAATCAGATTCACCATTCACTCTTGAGTGAATGAATGAAATATGAATGATAATTTACCTTAGCTCACCGATTCGAACTGGACCCCCCTACGTTGAAATGACCAAAACCAGCACTTCCCCTGATAATTCTGTCAAGAATGACAAGAAGAAAAAGGTAGTTTTTATTTCTTTTTAGAGTTTAATCATTAATTGTTTATTAATCCAATAGTTAATTAACAGTATATACACAGTTATATTGCTCCCCTTTTTTTTTGTTTATTGTTATTTTATTCTGATTGAATTAATTTGTCATTAACAATTTTTTATTAATAATATTTAAAATCTTTCTGGCCGAAGTCAATCATTCCAAAGATTTTTGGTACGAAGTGGCGAAATGGGAGAGACCCAGATGACGATATATTTGAACGAGAGGAAGTTGTTGTTGGTACTGCTTTCCTCTTCATTCTATCAATTTTTCTTTCATTCTATCCGAAATGTGTAAATCTTTGCATCAAGTTAAGGTGTGATTTCTTAAATCTTTGTTCCGATGATCTTCATCTGATGAACAGAGATGGGAAAGAGGATTAAAAACAGGAGGGCAGCCTTCTTGGAGGAGGCTCCTTATTTTATGAGAAAAAGTTTCTCAGGTGAGGGTTACAACAAATACATTTTACTAATTAAATGTTTCTTTATATGATCCCTGCAGGATCTGAGATTCTGAATATCTCGTAGAACTATTTTTTTTTTATTTATTTCCTGGGTCGGTTAAAGATTGAAACCCATGACCGTGCTCCGTGGTAGAAACAACCATCGTACCCTTCAGTACAAAAGACAAAAATATTCCTTATCTGCTTGTCCCAGATAAATTGGTAGCTTACCTACCTTGTTAGAGCTGTGCTCTGATTATTGGTTTGAATTTACCATACAAAGAAAGAATAAAAAAAAAATATTGTGTTCCGTCTAGTTCTTGACTCTGGAAAGTGAAATCCATTAGACTTAAAGTACGTAAATTATGGTTTTAGTTCCTCTCTTTTACCTTCAGATAGGCAGTCAAATTCGAGAATTGAGGGGCTGAACCTCTGCAACTTTGAACGCCCAATGGCCCAGACAACTGAAGTTCAATATTTCCGGTATAAGTTGTTGCTATGGTGGCTTTTCCTTTAAACTTAATTAATTGAGCTGGCCGTGATCCATACTAATCGTGTGCGTGTATGCTCTGAATTGCAGGATATTTGTTGGAACATGGAACGTGGGAGGTAGGTGTCCTAATAATGGCATAAACCTTGAAGATTTCTTACAGGTTGAGGGCTCTTCAGACATATATGTTTTGGGGTATGCTAACAACTTCTTCTTTCAGTAGAAAAATGAGAACAACAGAAGGAAAGAAACTGGGATGACTACTTGTTATTACTAATAGTTGTTGTTGCTTTAAACGAGTCCAAAGCGCCAAATATGGATCAGAGTAATGCAGTTCTCCTCCTCTTTCTGTATTATTTTGTTCAGGTTTCAGGAAATCGTTCCTTTAAATGCAGGAAATGTTTTAGTGATCGAAGATAATGAACCAGCAGTAAAATGGCTTGCCCTTATATGTCAAGCACTTAACAAACCACGTGATTATTCTAGCTTTTGTGATATGAGCCACAAAAACAGCAGCAACCACCACTCGAAGGAATCGAAATCCAATGAAGGTCTAAACTTTCAGAAGCCATCACTCAAAGTTCTGAGTAAAAATTATGGAGTGGATAGCAGCCTTCTTAAGATGTGCAATTGCCCATTGGAGTCGTCGCTCATGGAAAGACGGAGGTTCAGAGACATGAGCGAGAACATAATTCAGAGAACAGGAACGGATGATTGTTTGCGCATCCGGTACAACACCCTAGGTGATAATGACCTACTTTCAGTTCCACGTGTATCGCCATCACCAAGCAAGGTGAAATATAGACTTATAGCGAACAAGCAGATGGTGGGTCTCTTCCTTTCCATCTGGGTGAGGAACGATCTGGTTCGGCATATCGGTCATCTCAGAATATCTTGTCTAGGAACAGGGATCATGGGCTGCCTCGGCAACAAGGTAACTCAATATATATACTATACACTTAGTAGTTAAGCACGTGTTTTAGGCGTAAGATTTTTTTTTTTAAATTAATTATATGATTACAAATAAACATAAATACTTGTAGTAAACGTGCATATGCATTGCAGTGGAAACTTTAAATTACAATAACAATTATTATTATTATTATTATTATTAAATTTTGTATTCCATTTCTATCATAAATAAAAATAATTTTTATTTAATATGATGAATATATAACATAGAAATGTTTTTGACAAACCTTTATACTTTTCATTTTTTGTGTTCTATCTTTTTTTAAATATTTATTTTTAAGTTATGACATCATGAGTTTCTTTGAAAAGTTGGATCATTGACCCACCATTTAAATAAGAAATAGCTTTGCTTTCGAATAAGTTTTTATACCAGTTGATTGGTAAAAAATTTAGATATCGTATATTTCCAATATCATAGTCGAACCCAATTTTTATATATTCTTTTGATTACATGTATTTTTTTATTATTTTTTAAAGATTTATTATTTAACTATCATACTATCGATTAATCCATTTGACCCAAACCACTATCCCACCACCCAAAAAGAAAAATAGTATTATTTTAGGTTGACATTAAGTTTTTTATGGCATTTCCATCATTGATAAAATTATTTCTTATGTATAATATTTATTTTAGTTTAATATAATAAATGTATAATATTGTAGATGTACCAACTATTTTAATTTTTATAAATATATAACATTAGATATGTGCTCGAATTTTTCTCTACTTTTTCAATTTTTGTGATTCTTTGTATTTTCTATTTTTAAACATTTTATTATTTGGTTATGACATCATTTCATTTCTAGGTTGATTTTAAATTTGGCATTCCATTTTCATCATTAATAAAAATACTTCTTATTCATACTTATTTTTGTTCAGTATAATGAATATATAATATTAGAAATGTGTCCAATTCTTTTGATTTTTTTGTATAACATATTTTACTTATTTTAATTTTTATTATTTAATTATGGCATTATTTATGAACCCATTTGACTCCAAATAGTTAAATTGCTTACACACTAATGGGAGGGATGAAAATGATTTTGTTTCCAAATTATTTTTAAAAATATTTATTTTTATATTATTTGAATTAATATTGTGGATTTAATTAGTAAATTTAAATGATAAAAAAATATATCTTAAATATAAGATTTAATAAGAGAATATACTTTAGATATGAGATTTAATAAGAGAGAAATAGGAAAATAGTTTTATTTCCAATTGGTTTGAAATTTTACACTCGATTTCGTAATTAATAAAAATATTCTCATTTATCATTAGTGTTTTCAACCCGTTGTTGACCCATCCAATTGAATCACTCAAGCCGTCACTTGGCTTTGATCCTGGGTCTAGTTTTATTGATGCTCGCACTTTCGATAAAAAATTGTCTAACCTTGGTAGTTCAACAATTGACCCCTTCAACCTGGTCACCGCTTACTGGGTCATAGGTTGCACACTTAATTATGTGCAAACTTTTGGAGGCTATAACTTTACACTCTAGTGTCCGATTGGGGTGATCTTTTTTTTATTTTTTATTTTTTATTTTAGGTAACTTTTCAACAAGGGCCTTAGGTGCCTTGCCTTGCTATTTTCACAAAAAAATATTTTTTTGGTTCCAAATTGCAATTTTTAATATTTTTATAAATAAAAAATTTAAAACTGAATTAAAAAAACATAAATAAATGTAACATAATACATATTATACACACACACAGATGATGTGGAGTGGTTAGACTCGTTTGACCTTGACGATTGAACCAGTGATTTGTGACCCAAAGGCAAAAGCATGTTGGTTTTTTAAAACATTGTTTATCATACTTATTATTGTTTAATATGTCAAATATATGATGTTAAAAATGTTTCCAATTTTTTTAAAATTTTCTATTTTTTTAATTTTATATATTTTTTCATTTTATTATTTAATTGTGGCGACATGGATTGAACCATTTGACCCAAAATGGTTTAATTTCTTACCACTACCTAGATGAAAACACTATTTTTTTTTCAGGTAGATTTTAAAAGTTTTATGTTATTAGAATTATTAATTTATTATGTATGGATTTAATTATAGAATTTAATGATGAAAAGAAAGAAAAATGCGTTAAATATATGAATCAATGAAGGCGTGAATGCAAATTAATACCTTAAATGTTGAATTTAATGAGATAGAATTGAATGTATTAAATATCTTAAAATTACCTCTTTTCAACTCATTTTATATTAATATTAGATTACCCTATTTACTCTCATTTTTTATCAATAAATTTAAATATAAAGGGGTAAATTTTGTACTCAAAAAATTCCATAAACATTGATACTTTTTGCCCAAAACCCTTAACTCGTCAAGGTTAAGATTTTATTACCAGTTTGACTGTTCGCTCTTGCTAGAGGTGCTCAGTTTTCTCACGATGAACTTAATTATGGATAAAGAGATAAATGGGGTTTCTTCACCCCATGTATGTGTCGAATGGCAACTGTTTCTTCAATCTGTTCCCTTGTTTTCTTTATGACGAGAACTGAAGTAATAGATTGAACTTAGGATTTAAGGTTGCTGAAACTGGAAAACAGGACTCTCTACGTTCCACTCACTCATCAACAGGGTGTATATTTATATTGCAGGGTTGTATCTCGATAAGCTTGTCACTGCACCAAACGAGCTTTTGCTTCGTATGCAGTCACTTGGCTTCAGGAGAGAAGGAGGGAGACGAACTCCGAAGGAACTCTAATGTGGATGAGATCCTTAAGAACACACAATTCCCCAAGATTTGCAAGAATCCAAGTCGTAGAATCCCTGAAAGAATCATTGATCATGAGTATGTTTATGTGCTTTAGAAATGATGTCAAACTATCTAGCTAATCTTATTGGTCCTTGTAGTTTCTAACCTGTCATCATTTTGATTTAATAATGATCCAAACATAACAGTCGAGTAATTTGGCTTGGAGATTTAAACTACCGGATGACCCTAAGCTATGAGGAAACAAAGAGCCTGATGGAGGGCAACGATTGGGATGCCCTCTTAGAGAAGGACCAGGTTTGCATTCTTTCAACACTTTCTCTGTTGACAGCCCTACACAATATATAGTTGAAGAGTGCTTCTCTAACCCATATGCTCTGCACAGTTGAACATTGAGAGAGAAGCAGGGAGAGTATTTTCAGGGTGGAACGAGGGAAGGATATTCTTTGCCCCTACTTACAAATACTCCTTGAACTCGGATTCTTATGCTGGGGAAAGCGTTAAATCAAAGAAGAAACGTAGGACTCCTTCATGGTACACCTCCCACTTCCCCTTTTGTTTTCTGGTCTCAGTCACAACTCACAAATATACTGGTAGCGCCATAAGGATAAGAGATAGAACCGTGAATAAGAATGGCTTATTGATGTATGAACTGAATTCCAGGTGTGATCGGATACTGTGGTACGGCAATGGCTTGGAACAATTATCATACATTCGTGGGGAATCAAGGCTCTCAGATCATAGGCCAGTATGTGCAGTCTTCCTAGCAGAAGTGGAGATGAAAAGCATACCCACCAACAAGTTCAGGAAGGGATTCTCGACGGCCGCTTCGAGATTGGAATTTCACGACGTAATACCTCAGAGGCACAGCTTCTATGAGTACTAAAAAGATAGAGTTCTACTCCTGTATATTTCTATAGAGAACCAAGTACTCCTGTATACCTGCAAATCAAAGAGAAAAAAAAACAAGTAATTCCTGGATACTAATTGTTTCCATAAAGTAGACCTTGGTATCTCCCTCTGAAGACTTAAGCGTAGTGACCGGCATCTCATCATCAATCAGAATCATGTCCTGGTACATGAAGGCCCAACTGTTGAAAGACTTGCGCGATAGAATAGAAGAGAAAACTAGTAGAAATTGGCAATTCGCCGGTTTAGGTCAGGGGTAGTACAGTGTATAATGGTATTGGGCTAGTCCAGGTCCAGTTCGGTACTAACATGGGCCTAGGCTGGACTGCTGGATTTTCAGAGAGAGAGAGAGAGAGAATCATACTATTAAGGCTACTTACTTGCCAAAGTCATCCTAATTGGCATGGCTACGAGTTCAGATTTGTGAGACGCGCCTTGTGGGGGAGCCCATATGATACTCCCAGGCCTGATTTTCAATTATTCAGTAGGGCTGCAAGTTAGGCCGGGTTGACGATCAAGTTAGGGTTTAGGGTTGGAAAGTGTCAACCAGACTTAGCTTCATTTGGGTTAGGATACAAGACTCATTACATGTGCATATATATATATATATATATATATATATTGATCTAGTAATTGTTACACGTCACGATCTCATGTGTGATATATTAGGGATCCATAGTCCCTCTACACAATATCAAGTTATTCAACCATAACCATAACTCCTTAAGCCTTTAAACCTTTTTTTATTTTAGAAATTACATCCTCCTATCTTTTCCATTTATCACTTTGACTCGTCGAGGCATTGAGCATGGGCTGTAACTCAGACATTGAATCAACCATGGCTGTATCTTTACTCTTCACTAGATCAATTTATACTTCATACATGATACCTCTGCTTTGCCCTTCATCCCAACTGCGAAGTGTTAACTGCGCCCCCAAGTCAACATTATTGCCTTGTTGGGTTTCCCGTTCAATTGTTGTCGTCGGCCCGCCGTTCTCCTCTTGTTGCCGCCCAACTGCCCAACAGCTAACACTCAAGACTCAGGAGTAAGTTCAGTTCCCTTTTTTTCTTTCATCAATAATGCATTAATGAAAATTTTAAAGATAGAATACAACATCAATTTCCATTGGATTGATCGAACTCCATCATTCTTTTGGTTAAATGTTTCAGTCATTCAGCGGAAATTTGCCTGATAGATTGTCTTAATAAACGTACATCGGGATGGGCATCACACCGTAAATAGAGAGCATTTTTTATACTGATACTTGTACATCTTTTTGGACTCAATTTTTGTTCACAAGTTGAGGGAGGGAAGGAGGTTGGGGGTTCAAGATTTAGGGTTGACCTTAATTTGGATTAACCCGGCTTGATTTGCAGCCATAATATTGAGTTATTACTTTAATTTGAGGTACGCGTTCTGTTGATTTGAAGCTTAATGATTTGTCAATATCTGATTTTTACGTAGTCCACTGTCTGAACCCTAATTCACCCCAAACATTTGATTATATCGTTTTGATCTTTCTGAAATATTAAAAAGCCTAAAAAATCCAAATTTTAGCTCAAAAACCCTTGGATTCACCATTAAATTTGCTCGATATCAATCCGATGGCCCTGATTAATCCCCATCTACACTTCAACCATTAGATCAAACATTACCATTGGATTCAAGACCTCTCAAAATACCTATCCATCAAATTGTAACTCAAGATTCCTTCGTTCACCCTTTCATCAAACAAAGAATCCATTTTGAGCCTTCCATTTGCTTAAACACCTACAACTTAGATCCATTTGATCTTAACAGATCTGAACTAATCAGACCACACCATAGAATCCTAGACACACTAAAACATCTAGACAAACTAATCCTAGACCACACCATAGAATCCTAGACACACAGATCTGAACTAATCAGAACTAATCAGATCTGAACTCATTTTGGATCATCTCGTTGATTAAAATTCCCACGATCATGACCTTTCAGACCGAATCAGACATCACCATCAGATTCTGGAGTGGTTAGCCAGTGTCTTGGGTCATTATTAATAAAAAATGTTTTTTAATGCAATTTTCAGAGGTCTCCATCACCTCTATTTCCACAATTGATGAGTGGCAATCCATTTCAGCCCAAGTGAATCGTTTTCCAACGCTCTGATCCTCCTTCCATTAGATCTCTCTTTCTCTCTTCTCCTTCCCCTCCTTGCCCTGTTTGCTCCAGGTTGTTCTTCACCCCTATTCACGCCCAGTTCATTCACAATTCCTGTGATTTCTTCCCATTTTCGCAGAACCCTTTTCTTCCCCAATATTCATATCAATTTCTTTCAACACTTGGACTCCCAATGATCGATCGTCGAAGCTTTGTGTTGTCGGTTGAGAGGTGCAGACGATAGCTGCGGCAATAACCATCCGTTGAAATCATATTCTCCTCAGTCTCAGGCGAAAACCCGTATGCAAGTGATCGTTTCATCCCTCCCAATCATTAGTACGCATCACTGTTTGAAGAGAGAAAACTAGGAGACCATTTCGATAATCTGATTCATTTGTAGAATCATTCAAATTTCGTCTGAAATCCCACCTCAGGTAAGTTATATATTCCCACCCGATCTTTCTCATTTTTTTCTTTTTTTTTTCTCTACTCATTTTCTTTTATATGTGTTATGGATTAATCGGCACTTGGGGTAACTGTCGGAGTCGGTAATGAGAATTCCGTCGAACCGGCCTCCATGGAATCATCCTATCATGTTTGTCCATTGTTGGTCACCATTTTCTTTTTTTCTTTTTTGTTTTGTTTTCTCTGTGAATCAGTTTCTTCCCCGTTGATTTCCATCAGTAATTTGCTGCTCATTTTATCTTGTTTTCTCTTTCCGTTCTATGGTGATTAGGCTCCATTGGATGTGAAGATTGATCAGTTTTGAAGTCTAGTGTAGGATTATTCTTTGTCTCTGTTGATTTACGCGGTCTCTGATATTCAAAACCAATGTAATGATTTACTCTGTTTTTGATATTCAAAAACCGATGTGTAATGTTTGCCTCATAATTTGCTGAATGTTAATCTGTTAGTATTTTTTTATATATACTTAGTTCTTCCAATGTCATGAGTCTGTGTTGATTATTTTGCTCTCGAGATTGTGTGAAAAATACATTTCTTCATTGCCAGATGTCCTTGACACCAAGTCAGAGAAAGTGTCAACCTGACATCTCTTGTAAGCAGGGGCTTGTCCTACGGCTAATCAATATGAATAAATATGAAAATGGATAATGATGTAAAAAAAAATATAGGATAAAGATTAGAAAGGGGATGGTGATCGGGGAAGACAATAGATCAAGGCTGATTTGGTCATTGTACAGATTATAAGAATGAAGAAGGGTCCAGTTGCCCAAAGGGAAGCAAATTTGAAATAAAATAAAAAACAAAAAACAGAAAAGTAAAAGCTTGAAAGTGTGTAATAACAGGTTTAAACAATGGACCCAGGTTCTTAGTTTGATAAATAGAAAAATGTAAAAAAAAAATAATAAAAACTAGAAGATAAAATGTCAACTTCCATAAAATTAATAAGTAGATAGGGTTTCATTAGAAAATAGAAAAAATAATTAAAAATAAAAAATAATTGATAAAATGGAAAAGGGAAAGAACATAATAAAAAATAGAATAATAAAAATATAAAATTAAAACAAAATTAATATATATATATATAAAATAAATAAATAAAAAGTGATAGGATAGATTTCTTTGTGCGTTGGTTTGTTCTTGTTCTACTTTCTTTGTCATTATTATGTCTATTAGATTATGCATATTTAGAATCCCATGTGGGCCCCCACTTATTGGACCCGAGCGAGGGGTACCTACCCCTTCCCTCTCCCATCTAGTCTTACCCGACTAGTTATCCAATGCCTTGGGCCTTGTTGTTACTACAAATACAAAATGGTTATTTAACATAATTCTCATAGGTCTTCTCCATTTCTTTGATTGATGGGTGGCGATTCCAAATCAGTTCAAATAAGCTTACATGACTAAAAAACAAAAAGATTAAAAAAGAAAGTACTTTGGGAATTAGTGTTTTTTTGTTTTACTTGATATCTAGATGTAAAGAATGTTGTTTTGAAATCTAAATGTTAAATCCTGAAAATGGTTGTCTTACCATTTTTCCTACAGATCCGAATGTAGTAGGCATGTAGGTAAGCATAATGAAAGAGCACGCAATAGCTGTGTGACATATGTCCCAGTTAATGTGCCTTTTATCATAACGTTGTTGCTCCGTTAGACAAAAATTATCCATTATTTTATTATCTTCGTCAAAATAATTAAAAATATAAACAATGAAAAAGGAAAACCTAAACGTGTTGGGAATTGAGACTCATTTATGTTTCATTTTTCATTGTTTTTGATTTTTAATTATTTCAACAAAGATAATAAAATAATAGATAATTTCTGTCTAACAGAATAAAAGCGTTGGATGAAAGACACATTAACTGGGATATGTGTCACACAACTATTATGTGTTCATTCATTGTGCTTATCTAAGATGCCTACAACTTACTACATTCGGACCCTTTGCCTACATTCGGACCCTTTGTTTACATTGGTGGAATTAAAATTATGACAATTTTTTTAAATAATCCCTACTGTGTCAATTGACAAAAAATGAAATGTCAAACTTGTCCTCCGTTATTCTTTAAAGTTTCAAAATTAAACCCAAATTTCAAAAAAATAAGAAAAAGAACAAGAACAAAGGAGGAACTGAAGAAGTCTAGACCCTGGAGAAAACGGCTGCAGCGATAATGGATTTAACGCAAGGGTAAGTAGATCGGTAAAACCCTCCATACTTCACAAGATTACCGATGGGCCCTGAACCTGATTCAAATGAGAGCACTACCGTAGTCTATAATTGTAGAACATAGCGGTGGGAACACCATTGTCGATCCCAAGCCAGAATTCTTGCAGTTTTGGTACGAAGTTCATGCGATTTGACACGATGATT